TCCCATTTCAAGGAGTTTTGTTCGATTTCGACGGGAACTACAAGGTCGTGTGCTATAATGATGCAAAGTGACCGGGCGACGACAAGGAGGTGGGCAGTGGCAGAGCTCCAGTTACTGCAGCAAAACAACCGTCGTAGCAATCTTTGCTGCGCGCCGTTATTGACATCTCTTCAAAGAGACTTATTATCCCACTGATCTCATTTCGTGACCCGTGCAACAGATATGGAACCAAATGATTATCACTATTTCTGTATATCTGCCATGAAAGGGAGATAAATCAACGCCTCTGACGAGATCACATATTGCCAAAATGGGACCAAAGTCGGAAACTTGGCAAGGCAACCAAATGCAAAGTGACTGCCTCCTGCTCGATCGATATTCTTCATGGCGCTTTGACCGAATTGGATGTCGTAAAACAGCAAATTGCGAACATCGTCGTTTTATTGTTGACGAAACAATGTCCATTTTCTATACCAAAAGATGGGTGATGGTGATTTAATGGCAGGTGGCACTTAGTACGCGCGATACGGGGGTTAAACTAAGGGTCAGTTTGTGCTCAGGCCAGTCAAGCCTTTCACCTCCGAGATGACCATTTGGTCCCAGTCTCCTTCGATTTGTTCGTGAGTGTAAGCACACTGACCTATACATCATATGGCCCCCGCAAGTGATTCTGCAGGCCACATCGCAGTCAATAAGCCAGTAGGGTACCGAATGGAAGTGGTATGCATGCCGCATCCCATAAAGGATTTATCAGCGAGGAAGGATTCTCCTTTAGTCCTTTATACTGAACGATGCTCACGATGAAATACGCAAAAAGCCCTTCAATACAAAATTGTAATCCTTGAGACCTGGAGACCGGAAACTTTTGAAAGTTTTATAGTTTTGTTTTGTGGACGACAGATGACATTTGTAAATGTTTAGCGACGATCTTTTCAGAGAAGGGATATTGCATGCAAGGAGATCACTGTGTATTTGATCACGGTCCCGATCCTGTTGTTGTTGATGACTCTGCTCTCGAGAAAATGGTCAAGATTCCAGATAAACCAGCGTCCCACAATTTCACGTATGTGCTTAGAAAACTTGACTGTTGACGCCTGAATTCTTCTCCAATCAGTCGTTTTCAGGATTCCCCCTCCAGGATATCATCCGCCTAATCCGCCTCCTCCAGGTGTAGAGCCCATTTTTACAGGACCACCACCTGCACCAAGACCTGTTGAGGGTACTGTTTTTTTCTTGTTTGCGGATATGATGCATTTTAAATTATCTTTCTTTAAGGATACAATCCAGAAGCCCCATCTCTGAACGGACCCGATTTTTCAATGCCACCTCCACCTATTCCTGTCCCAATAAATACAGCTCCATGGCGACCAAGTCCGTATGCTGTACCCACCACTGCCAACGTGGTTGTTCCTACGGTTTGTTTTTTTACAGTTCCGTTCATACTGTTCACGAGCGTGGTCGTAACATCCGAAGCACGGCCTTGCGTGCTTCCTAGTTAGGCGATTTGAGACCGCGTATCGTTTCCACGTTCATCAGTTAGGTCCTGGTGCGAATGAGCCCGTATATAGCGCCTCTTTCGCCGCCTTCCAGGCAGCTCGGATCTGCTGAACTACGCCTTACTACTCACTAAACAAAGCTTTCCATGATCTTAAAGACAGCTCCCGCGATAAAAGTGTCAAGGATAATTGCTGATCAATTATGAAACAGTAGCTGATAAGTAATTCCTCAATGAAAAAAAAGGAAGAAAAAGGAAAGCTTTGTTTAGTGAGTAGTAAG